ATAAAGTTCTAGTGCAGATTGAAAGGTTATATGTTTAATGAAAATTGGCGAAATAAGCATTCCACATAATTTATAATAAACTCAGGTCTATATATCACAACAGTTGTTCAGAACAACCGTGGATACAATCACGGTTGCACGACCGTGGTAGAAATCATCATACATATAATTATTAGTAATAATTCATATTTTATTATATTATTTTCTTAAGCCCATAAGTTTGTTAGAGGGTATTTTAGTATTTTATATTATTCTAGTAATCCTAGTTTTAGTTTATAAATAGGGTGACAATCATTGTAACTCTTAATCCTGTTTCTTCTGCCGTCATTCTCTTTAATAGAATATTTTCCTATTTTCATTATTCTATCTTTGCACCAACAATTGGTATCTAGAGCTCCGGTTCTGATTCATTGGGAAACACGGGAAACACGAGTGAACGTGAGGTCTTGTGTGTTTGATTTTGATTCTTAGATTCGTGTTGAATCTTGAACAAAATCTGATCAGAATTTTATTCTGTGGGTTGGGAAACACTGTGTGAGAAATCTGAGTGTATTGTGCAAAGTAGAAGATGAACGGAAACGGCAACATGAACACCAAACTTCCAGTATTTGATGGTAAAAACTGGAATCGTTGGATGATCCAAATGCGTGTACTATTTGGTGCTCAAGATGTTCTAGATCTTGTCACTGATGGTTATGTTCCAGTAGCAGCAGATGCAACCGATGAACAGAAAAACGCGCAGAAGGAAGTAAGGAAGAAGGATCAGAAAGCATTGTTCTTCATTCATCAATGTGTGGATGTAAACGTGTTTGAGAAGATTGCAGACTCTACAACAGCAAAGGCTGCGTGGGACACACTGGTTAGATGTTATGGTGGTGACGCATCAGTGAAGAAGGTGAAGCTTCAGTCCTTGAGAAAGCAATATGAGAATCTCAACATGAAGAATAATGAGAAAGTTTCTGAATACATCTCCAGAGTGATTCTGATCACTAATGAGATGAAGGCGTGTGGAGAAACTCTTTCTGAAGAAACAATCATAGAGAAAGTGTTGAGATCCCTTACTTCTCAATTTGATTACATTGTGGTAGCAATAGAACATTCCAAAGATCTGAGTACCATGAGAATTGAAGAGCTGCAGAGCAGTTTAGAAGCGCAAGAGTTGCGTTTGACTGAGAGAACTTCTGAAAGGGAAGTAGAGCAGCAGGCTCTGAAAGCAACTTCTGATAGGAGGTATCAGAAGCAGTCAGAAGCCAAGAGAAGATCTGATGGTGGTCAGAAGTCAGAAACCTCAACCTCTGATAGACAAAAGAATGCTCAGAAGGGAAAAGAGAAGTATGACAAGAAGAAGATCCAATGTTACTGTTGTAAGAAGTTTGGTCACTTTGCTAGAGATTGTTGGTCAAACAAGGAGAAGAAATCAGAAGAAGCAAATATAGCCAGAAGTTCTGATGACGAATCTGTGCTATTGATGGCCTCTGAATCTGATGATCTGACAGACTGGTGGTATATGGACACTGGCTGTTCAAATCATCTTACTGGAAACAAGAAATGGCTGGTTGACTTTGACTCTGAAAAGAGAACAAAGATCAGATGTGCTGATGACAAATATCTTAATGCAGAAGGTATGGGAAATGTCAGAGTGACTCTGAACAATGGGAAAATAGCATTGATTCAGAATGTGTGGTATGTACCTGGCATCAGAAGCAATCTGATGAGTGTGGGACAATTAATTGAGAAAGGTTTTTCAGTTACCATGAAGGACAATCTTCTGAAGCTGTATGACTGTAATCAGAAGTTGATTATGGAGTCAGAACAGGGAAGGAATAGAACATTCAAGGTGAATGTAAGAACTGCAGACTCTGAATGTCCAGAAACCAATAAAATTGAATTCAGCAGAGATGTGATTGTGAAGGAATCAGAAGTTTGGAATTGGGATAAGTCTCAATCTGATTCTGATGTTAGAACCTCTGAAGAAAGGCCAGAGTTAAGAATTTCTGAAGTTGAAGTAAACCCTGATATTGACTCTGACTCTGATACTGATTCAAACTCTGAAGAAGACTCAGAAGATGAAGGTGACCCAGATGACCCAGACTCTGATGATTCAGACTCTAATGGCAATCCAGATCTTGGTGGCAATTCAGACTCTGGAAATATGCCAGACTCTGAAGATGGTCAAAGCTCTGGAGGTCAATCATCTGAAGCTAGAAACTCTGAAGCTCAAGACTCTGAACAAGTTCAGAGACCACAAAGAATCAGAAGCGTTCCCAGAAGATTTGAAGAATTTGACATGCTGCAAGACACTGAAGTAGACTCTGAAGGAGAAGTTATTCAGTGTGCCATGTTAGTAGACTCTGAACCTATAAGTACAGAGGAGGCTCTTAAGCAGAAGCTCTGGCTGAAGGCCATGAAAGAAGAACTTGATGCTATAGAGAGAAACAAGACTTGGAAGCTGACAGAACTTCCAAAAGACAAGAAAACCATCAGCGTCAGATGGGTTTTCAAGCAGAAGTTAAAGCCAGATGGTTCAATTGGCAAACATAAAGCAAGGTTGGTAGCCAGAGGATTTCTACAGAAACCTGGGCTGGATTATTCTGAAGTGTTTGCACCTGTAGCAAGACATGAAACAATCAGAATGGTGATTGCAATAGCTGCTAACAGGAATTGGCCTCTGATGCATTTAGATGTAAAATCTGCATTTCTGAATGGTCCATTAGAAGAAGAAGTTTACGTGTCACAACCTCCTGGATTTGTGAAAAAGAATCAGGAAGGGATGGTGTACAGATTATACAAAGCTCTATATGGATTGAAACAAGCGCCCAGAGCTTGGAATCAGAAGATTGATTCATTTTTCAAGAAGCAAGACTTTCAGAAATGTGAGATGGAGTACGGTGTCTATGTTCAGCATACTTCTGAAGGCAATATGACTCTGGTATGTTTATATGTTGATGATATACTATTGACTGGAAGTTCTGAACAGGAGATAGCCAAGTTCAAGAAAGTTCTAATGAATGAATTTGAAATGACTGATCTAGGCAAAATGACATACTTTCTAGGGATGAAGTTCAGATATTTTGAGAAAGGTATCATTTTGCATCAGCTCAAGTATGAATTAGAACTTCTGAAGAGATTTGATCTGAAGAATTGTAAGATGGCTGTCACACCTTCTGATACAAATCAGAAACTGGATTCAGACTCTGAAGGAAAGGATGTGGATGCTACAACCTTCAAACAGCTGGTTGGTTCTCTGAGGTATCTGTGCAATACCAGACCTGATATTTGCTACTCAGTTGGGATGGTTAGTAGGTTCATGAGTAAACCTAAGTGGTCCCATTACCAAGCTGCTGTCAGGATTCTGAGGTATATCAAAGGAACTCTGAAGTATGGAGTGTTATTTCCCTCTGGAGGAAATAATGAGTCAGAACTTCTGAGTTATTCAGACTCTGATTGGTGTGGAGACAGAGTTGACAGAAGAAGTACATCTGGGTACTTGTTCAAATTTCTGGGAGGTCCCATTTCTTGGTGTTCCAAGAAGCAACCTGTTGTGGCGTTGTCAACCTGTGAAGCTGAATACATTGCAGGTGCTGTTACTGCATGCCAAGCTGTGTGGATTCTGAATCTGTTGCAGGATCTGAAGATTAAGGTAGACAAACCTCTGAAGTTGATGATTGACAACAAGTCTGCAATCAACCTTGCCAGAAACCCAGTGCTGCATGGGAGAAGCAAGCATATTGAGACCAAGTATCATTTTCTGAGACATCAAGTTCAGAGTGGAGTGTTAGAAGTTGTACACTGCAGCACTCAGAAGCAGTTGACAGATGTTCTGACGAAAGCTATCAAGACTGATCAATTTCTCAGATTAAGGGATGGAATTGGTGTTACAAGTTTTGATGGAATATGAATTAAGGGATGGTATTAGTAATAATTCATATTTTATTATATTATTTTCTTAAGCCCATAAGTTTGTTAGAGGGTATTTTAGTATTTTATATTATTCTAGTAATCCTAGTTTTAGTTTATAAATAGGGTGACAATCATTGTAACTCTTAATCCTGTTTCTTCTGCCGTCATTCTCTTTAATAGAATATTTTCCTATTTTCATTATTCTATCTTTGCACCAACAATAATCACATCTGATCTCAAAACATTTGGACCAACGTAGTGGTATCCTTTTTCAATCATTGTAACATGTGTTTTCTGTAATAGCGTACTCATCATTTCCACGTTAAATTAATAATCATATACATCAAGTGATTAACCATTAAAATTTCCCAACAAAAAATAACTTTATTTTATATTTTCGAAATAGTTCATACCAATAATGTCAGCTTATTAAAAAAGAATAAGACTCCTAAAACAATATAAAAAACAAAATATCAGAATTCCAGCACATGTTATTTTTGAAGTGGATATTCACGTGTGTGGTCGTTATAACATACGAAAATAAACTAGTAGACATATCACATATGTATATCTACAGTATACATATCTATCTCTCCTCCAATTATATAATACTATAAACCCAATATAAATTATACTTTATATAATATTGTCTCCGTCGTACAACCAATGATTCACTTCATTAATTTTCATAAATAAAATAAATAAATTAAAGGGAGAATAATATTTTTATTAAAAAAACTTTTATTAAATATTAAAAATGATAAAAATAATTTTATCTTAATCTTTAATATAAAAAATATTATTTTTTAAATTTATTGTAAAATTATTGTATCTGAACTATATATATAATTCAGATATATTAACTCTAATAAATTTAAAAAATAACTTTTATAAGAACTAGAGCAAATACTAATTAGCGTAGAAAATTGAAAAAGTGTACTGAAAAGTAGAATAGATCATTTTAAGAAACATTTTTATTCAATATAATTAGCTAATTTCAGGATGGAGGGAGGGTGTACTATAAAACTAATAGATTGAGTTCAAATGTTATATAAACCATACTCAACCACACACTCATACAAGGAGTCATAGTTAAGAACATGGTGAGAAGCTCTTGTGGTGACAAAAATGGATTGAGAAAAGGCAAGTGGACTCCTGAAGAAGACAACAAGTTGATTGCTTATGTAACTAGATATGGCTCATGGAATTGGCGACAACTGCCTAAATTTGCAGGTTATATATATAAATAATAATTTATTCATGTGTGTATATTGGTTTTCTTCTGGTTTATGTGTCATCTTGGAATAATGTTTTTAGGTCTTGAGAGATGTGGGAAGAGTTGTAGACTAAGGTGGTTGAACTATTTAAAACCAGATCTCAAAAGAGGAAACTTTACTCAACAAGAAGAAGATACTATCATCAAACTTCATCAAAAACTGGGTAATAGGTATCATTAACATGTATCCACAAGCCCTACTTATTTTTAATAATATACACAACATATCATAAAGAAAATAAAACAACATAAAATATTATTTCTCTTAAACAACATTATTATATATGATTATAACTAAGAATTTAAATACATTGTTAGTCTAATAATATTATTTACACAGTATTTATTTTAACCATTCATAAATAATAATTAATCTTTATAATTAAACTAAATTTTGTGTTACATTACCATACTCTTATATATTCACACAACTTAAAGATTGTATTCTTAAAGCATCCTTTAAATTCATATGGACTTTGGTTTTTCAATATTAACTTAATTTCTTGCATACAACATGTTCGTAGAGCTTATAGAGCTTTTATATTAAGGCTTATAGAGCTTTTATAATTATCAAACGATTTTAATTATGCAGATGGATTGTGATTGCTGCAAATTTACCAGGAAGAACAGATAATGAGATAAAGAATCATTGGCACACAAACTTGAAAAAACGTTTTGTGAAGAATACTAAATCAGACACAGACACTAATAGTGGAACAGGAAACTCCAAACACACAAATTCGGATAACCCTACAATGGCAGAAGAAAACAAACATGAAGGGGTGTTAGAGAACAATTGTGGTCCCAATATTAAAACTCCATTGTCTTCAATCCCATCTTCAAGTGGAACAAAGGATACTCCAACAACTACGGAAATATCATATGAAAACTATCTTCTTGATGAGTTTCCTTTAATGGACGCATACATGGATGTTTTGAATGATAATTTCTGGACAGAACCATATATGATAGACAATTCATATGTCCCTCCAAGTGATGAAGCTACATTAATAGCTGTGGGATATGAACATGAATACTTCAGTCCTGTGTACCATGAACAGCTTTGGCGCCATGGAGAATAAAATGTTACAGTTGAAGTTTTAGAACACCATATGCGACAGCAAAAACAGCCACGACAAAACAGTATTGACATCTGTTGATACTGATACCCTTTTATGTTAAAAGAACAAATTATGGTTGATTTAGATTGGGACATCCACCATGAGTGTCTCGAAACCTATACCTACCGACATTGCAAAGTTTTTACGTGACTGAGAACGTTTTTTAAATGCTTGGTTACAGTAATGTGGAGGTTTGCTTTTTTTTAGGAATGCCTTGCGGATAATGTTTTCATCATTTGAGTACTACTTTTCATGTTTTTCCTCTGTCATCTTGTACTTTTAACTAATACTGTATTTGAAAATTGAAATAAATTAGCATCTCTTTGTCTCTCTCCTATATTTTTGTTGTTAACTATGCCATGTCAATGTTAATCTCTTTCTCTGTCGTTTAATCAAATATTTAATTAAATAAAGAAATATACTCTTCTAATTTTATTTATAAATAATTAATTAAACAAACAATATATTTAATCTATTATACTAAGTATTTTAATCATTCAATAAATCTAAAATGTTAATTTTATAACATTAAAAAACACACTCATTTTCACAAATTTGAAATTCATGTTACAAATCTAAATTAGCGTCGTAGTAATTCACAAAACAGAAGTATTTGTGATAACTTTTTGCCACGTGAAAATTAAATCACAAATTAGTCTTGTAACGCAAAAGTTTATCATGTAATTTTCACGTCAGAAAATTTTACTACAATTCTGTTGTACACCAAGCATGCAAAGCATGTTGGCAGGTTTGCCGCGTAAAATTTATCACACAAATAAGTTTTGTGTTGTATTTTTTCCGCTACTAATTTGAAAAATTATTTTCAATTAGCGTCATGTTTGCCATGACCCATATTAATTTTTTATTAAAAAATTTCATAAATAATTAATATTCGAAATTAATAATAAATTTTTTATAATTTATTTACAATTTCAAAATATTAAAATTCAAAATTAATAATTGTAATATTAATTTTAATTATTAATTAAAAATAATTAAACTCAAAATATAAATTTCAATTAAAAATAATTAAAAATATTTTACAAAAATTAATATTTAAAAATAAAATAACAATAATAAAAATTAATCAACATCGTCATCTATAACTTCGTCCACATCATCATCATCATCATCCACATCACCCTTGTTGTAAGAGCAATTGTCTCATTATTTCCCCCATCTCAATTTGTCTCTTCTTCATTGCCTCCATTTGAGCATTTATTATCCGCTTCACGTTCAGCCACCTCGCGTCTCGCCTCAGTTAGCACCAATTATTCCACTATTTTCATCATTCGTAACATTCCTTTCTCATCTGCAGCTCTTTCAAATGTTCTATTCCTTAATCTGTAGTTCCCAAACAAAGATCCATCACTAAATAAACACTCGTTAGGTCCTCACCCGATAATTATTAAATTCCAAATATAAAGATTCACACGATCATCAATCAGATCTGAACCCATCATAGTATATGCCAAAAAAGACCTTTAACAGCGCTTTTTTTTTTTTGCCTTTAGCAGCGCTTAAAAGCGCTGCCTAAAGTGGCGCTGCTAAAGGTAAAGACAGCGCTTTTTTTTTTGCCTTTAGCAGCGCTTTTTTTTTTGGCCTTTAGCAGCGCTTTTTTCACCCTATAGCAGCGCTTTCATAACCGCTACCTAATCCCCCTTCATCTCCCCCCTTTAGCAGCGCTTAAAAGCGCTGCCTAAAGTGGCGCTGCTAAAGGTAAAGACAGCGCTTTTTTTTTGCCTTTAGCAGCGCTTTTTTTTTTGGCCTTTAGCAGCGCTTTTTTCACCCTATAGCAGCGCTTTCATAACCGCTACCTAATCCCCCTTCATCTCCCCCCTTTAGCAGCGCTTTTTAAAAGCGCTTTCTTAGACCCCCCCCTTTAGCAGCACTTTTTTAAAGCGCTGTCTTAGACCCCCCCCTTTAGCAGCGCTTTTTTAAAGCGCTTTCTTAGACCCTCATTTTCCAACCTATAGCAGCGCTTTTTTATGCCTCTTGTTGCCCCTTTAGCAGCGCTTTTTTTAAAAGCGCTATCTATTCTTCACGATTTTGAATTTTTTGTTTTAAAAATAATCACATTTTTTATATATTTTTCAATAAACCTGCTTATAACAAATACATTCCCTGCTTATAATTCAGGTCTTTAGTTCAACAGTTTGGCCTTATATATAACAATTATTTTGGCCTTATTTTTGTGTATTCATCAATTTGCAATATTATACACAATAACTAAAGTATACATTATAATTCATCACTTTGAAATATTATACACATAAACCTGCTTAAATATATTACAACACAGTCCGATCCTCAGAACAAAATCACATATACAATCAATTCACATATAATTACAAATCTGATAACTTTACAAATAGATACAATATCAGATGTTACATTAGGAAGAAATAAACTTAACAATCTTTACTTGACTATTGAATTCTGTATGAGACTGCATGGAGTTCACTATCAGCCACAAATACACGGTTTTCTTCAAGCTTTGTATCATTATTCAATTGAATGTCTTCCAAGCTTAATTCAATAGAACATGATTCATCTTAACAACAGCACAAGCAAAAACAATAATAGAACATGATTCATCTTAACAACAGCACAACCAATTCTTATCAGTATCACTTCCAGCCATGATTGATTTTGAAGGTATGATCGTTGCATTTAATAGTTTTGGACCCTTCAACAATACTATAGACAAAGCTCCACAAATACATATCAAAGTCCCCACAATTTTGGCTATAGTTCTCAAACTTCTAATATTTACTTTTTCCATTCTGTAAAATATTCAAAGAAACATATTATTATTGGTTTGAATTTTGATTGACTAACAAATATAAGTTAAGTTAGTTATTAATTACCCTACAAAGGCTGCTATTAAAAATGTAACTTCGGGAATAAGATTGATCATGGCACTTGCAATTGAAGAAGACGAAAGATATAGTCCCTCAAAATATAGATTTTGATACAATGTAATGCTGCAACATCAAACATCATTATACATATACAAACATAAAGCTGTATGAATGATCTATACATTCTAAAACTATATCCACATTCATGAAGACACGTGAATTCATTAAATGTTGTGTAACTCGCCAAACAAACTTTATTTCAAAAAAGTTGTCGGATCTATATATTTATGTTTTAAAATTTAATAAATAAATAAGGATTATTTGTGAATTTAGACTATTTCATAGAAAAATAAGGATTAAGAAAAATAAATAAATTTCAAGATTAACAGAAACTTAAAGCTTTCATCTAAATCACAAATAGTGTGAAGTTTCTAAAGCAACATAATCTAAAAAATCATTGAATATATGTGCAGTATTTCCCTTATAAAAATTATTAGTAAAAAGAACTCATATAAGGTGTGACATTTCAGCAAACACCTTGTATACGGCTAGATATAATGAAAGTTAACATAAGTAAATTCATTGTGGCATTTCAACAAACACCTTGTATACAAAACTCAAGCCAATATCAAACGAGTAATTTTCATCAACGGTATCAACAAAAACAAGTCAAAAACTCAGAAAAGAAGTAACACTAACATCATATAATCCAAAAAAATAAAATACTAAGACATTAATCCAGAAAAATGCAAAATGAAAAACTTCAAATACCGTAACAATGGACGGACGGCGGCAGAATGAGGTGACGACGGAATGACCAGAGGAAAGACGACGGACGGAGGCGCGGACGGAATGCGTCGACGGTGACTGTTCTAATTCTGAATAGGGCAGCGTTCGCGAGTGGAAATAAGAAAGAAGAAGACTGTTCTGATTCTGTGAAAATATTGGAATTTTTTAAATTTATGCTACTTAAACCTATAGCAGTGCTTTTTTTGGCATTTAGCAGCGCTTTTAAAAGCGCTGCTATAGGTCTGCCTTAGGACCCCCTTTAGCAGCGCTTTTTTTGGCATTTAGCAGCGCTTTTAAAAGCGCTGCTATAGGTCTGCCTTAGGACCCCCTTTAGCAGCGCTTTTTTTGGCATTTAGCAGCGCTTTTAGAAGCGCTGCTATAGGTATGCCTTAGGACCCCCTTTAGCAGCGCTTTTTTTGGCATTTAGCAGCGCTTTTAAAAGCGCTGCTATAGGTCTGCCTTATGACCCCCTTTAGCAGCGCTTTTTTAAAAGCGCTTTCGTAGACCCCCCCTTTAGCAGCGCTTTTTTAAAGCGCTTTCTTTGACCCCCCTTTAGCAGCGCTTTTTTAACAAGCGCTGTCTTAGGTATGCTATTTTTTTGTTTTTTTTTCATGACCCTTTAGCAGCGCTTTTTTAGAAAGCGCTGTCTTTTGTTGCGCTGCTAAAAGTCATTTCTGGCGTATAATGAGGATTTTGAACTAAAAGTTTTGTGAGCAATGTGTAAAAGTCCTTCTACACTTATAAGAAAAAAATTAAATTTAATATAGTTTAAACAATTTAGTCATATACAAGTATTAAATCAAATAAAATAATAAAATATAGTCACGTGATTTTCACGCCACAAACAACATTGAATTAGTTCCCACATGAAAATCATGTCACAACTTCGCCATTAAATATTAATATAATTTAAATAATTTATTCATATACGAGAATTAATTTAAATAAAATAATACAATATAAACAACTTACCCTAATCTGGTACGTTCGTCAACAAAATCCCCCAATTTTTTGGTATAAGTCTTTGTAACCAGCTCATTCATTCGTTGAGATCTTCCAAAATCCTTATGCTAATTAATAATAAAATTAACTTTAATTAAAAATATACAGTAAATCAAAATATAACTTAAAAAAGTAGTTATAATTATCATGTGCCAAGAGCATGTTCGGCAATGCTAATACTTACAACTGCACTGAGGTAACCCCCTTTTCAGATGCTCTCATTTTCTTTGCAATTTTAAATCTCGCCAATTTTTTTCAATCCTAGCATTGTTAATTATTTCTCACGTACATTTTTCCTGCAATATTGTATGACATTCAAATTAATTGTTAGATAATTATAATTAAAAAATTAATTAAAATAATAATGACTTAAAATAAATTCATTATATCTTAAATTTGTTAAACCAAACATCTTTATAACTCTTGAAAAGTTCTCGAAATCTATTCCAAGATTTTTTATACATTTGCTATATAACTTATACGTTTTACAGCAATCCGACTCGCCTCGAAACTAAACAACAACAATTTGATTAAGCATTACTAAATCTTAAAAAAATAGGCAACATGTTTACTTAAATTAAAAAATTAGAAATTAGAAACTTACGACTTTCCACTAGGACAAATATAGTATCTTCCATCAGCCATCTCATACTCACTTGAGTGTACAACATGATTCTGCCCCTCATGATCGTCCTCACTCGAATGTAGGCAATTTGTCTTTCGTAGGAGTCGCGTCCAACATCAATTTTGCGAAGAATTCCAAACATTGATCAGGAACATTCCAATTTGACTTGACGGCTAATAATCTTACACATTGATAATTTTGAATTCTTTCCTTTGAAATAAAAGCTATGAACCCACTTCACCCAAAAGTTGTCTTTTTTTATGACTGGGGTTCCATAACAACCTTGCAATACACGCCCTATTGCACTCAACAAGAGATATCACATTCAACCCACCTTTTTTTCTAGTATTGCAGACAGTATTGCAGGCCACAAGAGATTTTTTAGAAGGCACGTCCTTACCGGTCCACAAGAAAGTCCGATAAACTGAATAAATAGCATGAATAATCTTCTTAGGAAAAGGCAAGCAGTTCATTCAATACGATGTCATAGCAGAAAGAGTGTTGTTAATAAGTTGCACCCTACATGCATAAGACAACAACTTCAAACTCCCGTGTCTGATTCTTTTAATAATGATGTCCACCAAACCCATGCAATTATGCACTGCCAGTTTCCTGCTAGTGAGAGGTACATCTAGGTACCTAAAAGGAAGATCACCAACAACAAAGCCAATAATGCAGATGATTTGATTTTTCACCTCAGGGTGCACTCCACCAAAATAAGCCTTACATTTGCAAGGATTCATGAATAACCCAGTAGCATTAGAGAAAGCCCTCATTTTTTCCATAAGGAGCTCCACATATTTACAATCACCCCTATCAAAGAGAAGTAAATGATCAGCAAAAGCAATGTTAATAATTTGATGCTTTTCACACTTCGCATGGAAGTTAAAATTAGGAATTCTATTGAGCTTGTGAATGCTTTTGTGCAGGTATTCCATAATCATCACAAAAAGGAGGGGAGACACAAGGTCACATTGTCTAAGGCCCCTCTTGGCCTTCATGATATTAGAATGCTTTCCACAAATATTGAACCTATACGAGACAAATGTAACTGCCAACATAATCCAACTGACAAACTTCATGGGCATACCAAATTCTCTGAGGATACAATCAAGCAACGGTATCATACGCTTTTTGGATGTCAAGTTGAAGTATACACCTCAGAGTACCACCCTTCCTACTGTAACCTCTAATCAGCTTGTACGCAAGCAGAATATGGTCATGAATGTTATGTCCAAGTACAAAAACTGCTTGGCTATGATTAATGATAGTAGGTAGAACTTTGGACAATATACTAGATAAAATATTAACAATAATTTTGTATACAGTAGTGCAGCACGAGATTGGTCAAAAATCCTTTCTGGTTGTACCAGAGTTACTTTTAGAAATGAGGGAAACCAGAGTATCATTTATGGCTGAATACATATTGTTTTGGTTGAAAAACTCCAAAATAGCCTCCACCACATCATTCTTCAAAATGTTTCAAGTCTCTTTAAAAAACCCGACATCATAACCATCCACGCCTGGGGCTTTGAGATCACCAATGCTCTTAAGGGCATGAGTGATTTCATCCTCAGTAATTGGCATTTCTAACATCCTTCTATGTTCATTAGACACATGGGGACCCTCCCTCATAAGCTTCCCATAGAACTGAAGCACCTCAGCTTCAATCTCATCAGGGTCAATAATAACAGTTCCATCCTCTTTAGTAATAATGGACATGTCATTATAATTCTTCATAGCTTTAACTTGGGCATGGAAATACCTATTATTCTCATCTCCAAGTCTCAACTTTTTCCCGTTGACACAGGTGTTCTTCGTCAATATTACTCCAATAAAACACCTTATCAGTGGCAGTTTTCACTTTGTGTATAAGATCCTCATTAAATCTATCCTACATCAGATTATCTTGAAGATCTAACAACTCATTTCTAACAATACCCAAAGAGTGAGTACCTCCCACCACCGGGATGTTAAGTGTAACGCCCCATTTTATTTTTAATTAATTGAAATTATCTGGTGTTTATGTGTATTTCGTTATGATGGGGTACCCTGTAGTAAAGGGTAATGACCTTAGTGTTAATGACCTTAAGGATGAAAGGTGTGTGGCTAGTTTTGTAGAATTTGGTGGTGTGGTGAGAATGAGTAATAAAGTAATATTAGTAATAATTGATTAATATTATTAATTTAAATTATTAGTAGATATTGTTATTATTATTTAAGTTGTAAAAGCATTAATAATAATATTGGAATAACAATAACAATAACAATAATAATAATAATAATAATAATAATAATAATAATAATAATAATAATAATAAAAAATAAGAATGTTAAGGTGAAAATAAGAATAAGGGGTAGAATTGACAATTGGGAGATTATTGAGGATATAATAGAGAGTTAGAGGAATAAGTGAGGGCATAAGAGGCAAACCATAAAAAGGGTCTTAGGGTTAAACAAGTAAAACCCTGAGATAGATTTCATTTTGTACGATCATGACTTTTGAGGAGAACGGAAGAAAGGTTAGGGTTGAAGAAGAAGAGGAAACCACCATTTATGAAGGTTTAGAAAGCCCAATTACAAGGTAAGAGTGGGATTCTGGTCCTCTAAGGGATATTATATTGAATGATGGGTAAGAGTTTAAGTTCTTACATTGTGGGTTGTGTGTTGTTCTATGATATGATTGTTGTGGAGTAATTGATGAAGATATTATTTAATTGTTATATGATGAATGATGATTTGTTAATATATATGTGATGGAATTGTTGCCTATATGTGTGCAAAAATTTTGTTTTGCAATTATTGATAAGTTCCTCCATTGTTGAGTTTTAAAGTTTCGAGTTGTAGGCATGAAATTGATGATGATGTGATGTTAATCCATGAGTAAAACATGATATAATTAAGTTTTAGGATGTTATTTTAGTATAAAATTGAGTCTATGATTATGGGTTTTCGTAGCATAGGATCTAGTTTAAAAAGCTGGTGTGAAAGTGCTTTTTAAAAAAGTAATTTTTAAGGTTCGGAGCAGCATGGGTCGACCTCCAAGGTCATGTGAGTTGACCTGAAGCCTCTCGAATTAAATATTTTAAGAACTGGAACAACACGTGTTGACCTGAAGCTCCCATGTGTCGACTCATGCACTCATCTTTTGAAGAAAACTGTTAAAAACAATTTTGATCATAACTTTTTAACTATTTATCCAAATGACGAACCATTTGAAGCGTTCGAAAGTTAATAAGTAGTGATTTAACATTGTATAGTTAGGTGAATCATTTCCCCAATATTTTTATGTTTAATATATTGAATAATGTGACTATTAATTGTTGCGTATGTTAAAAAGTCTTGTTGTAAGTGACAAAACTTGAATGTTGTTATAAAGACGTTGTTGTGGTGTTAATGGTGCAATATGAGCATGTTTAATGATGTTGTTGAGATTATATATATATATATATATATATATATATATATATATATATATATATATATATATATATATATATATATATATATATATATATATATATATATATATATATATATATATATATATATATATATATATATATATATATATATATATATATATATATATATATATATATATATATATATATATATATATATATATATATATATATATATATATATATATATATATATATATATATATATATATATATATATATATATATATATATATATATATATATATATATATATATATATATATATATATATGAAATATAATCCGATCCTTGTTGGCCAATTTGGGCGGTGTACAATAACCATGGTGGTGGGTTATTGTGCATGATGATGTTATTGTTGTTGTGTGCATAAATAGTCGCATTGCATACATTTATGAACATGAGTCGTGATATTTTTTGTTCAACGTGATTGAGGTTATATTATAATGTGGTGTGATATAAAGCATTACTTCAAATTTGATTATGTTTAGTTATGGGGATTGCATAAAAGATATATATGTCGCATGAACTACATGTTATGCTTTCTAGCTAATTCGGGCGATGTATAATAACCATGGTGGTGGATTATTATGCACAATGATGTTGTTGTTGTTGTATGCATAAATAGTCCCATTGCATACATTTGTGGATAATGCTCCATTGTTGGTGAGCCTAAAATCTCATTGTGGGGATTGGGCCAGTAGTTGATTTGAAGGTGATGGATCAATGAGTGATTCTGATCCTAGGAGGTGGGTATCAGAACGGTGCACCTAAGTGTTCATGAAAATTCGTACCACATGCATAAGCATTGAGTCAGGTGTGAGTCTCATTGCATTGGATATGTTGCTATGTTGTTAAATATGTGGTGTTGTATGATTAATTGATTTGTTATCGTGTGATTTCCTATTTGTTGGTGAATAGTTGGTGATTATATTGTTAGTTTATTAATGTGAGATATTTAGTTGAATTGTTGTTATGTTAACCTGATGCATACCGTTTAACATGCTTTCGTTTATACTATCATGATATCTCACCCCTTCTGTTTGAATATTGCCTCCACGTGGATAACACACAAATTATTCTAAGTAGCTTGTAGAAGCATTAGAGATAGCTTTGAAGTACTTTATTAGTTTACGTTAATTAGAAAGTGTCTTGCTTTAATATGTAACATCGGGTTGGGAACGACAGTTATGCGAATATTGTATTTCATTGACTAACATATTTTTTGATGATTTTGAAGATGTCAAACTATTGTAATTCCAATTTAGATGATATGTTAAGTTGTTAACATATTTATTTTGGTGTTATAAAGATGAATGATGTTGTTTCATGATTATGATTCCGCTGCGAAGTTCAAATTATGTGTCAAAGTCATAAACGAAAATGATGTTATAGATGTTATAACCCGTGTTACGGAGTAGGATGATTATTATGAATGTTTTATATGAAGTGTGACACCCTTGAGTGGTGAATTAAGCTGAATTATCCTTATTATTTTGTGAATTATTCTTTGGGGGTTAGAAGGGTGTTACATTAGTGGTATCAGAGCAGGTCGGTCCATCCGGCCAGGTTGTTTAATATGTTGTTCCCTAGTATGCCAAATGTGTGTGAAAACACTGCCAATACTTGTTTTGTTTTCCATTGTAGGTTGGGAATGAAACAAGTAGGGGAGAAGCTTGTGCTTCTCCAAGATGTTTCAAGTGTGGGGTGATGGCTTAGTGTATTGTTGGACGCTATTATAGTTTGGTAAAGATGGTCCATGCCCCACCATGGTTGTCGGTTGTCTATTAACAAAAATTAAGGAACTGATCACCCTTAATCTCTTGTTGATAGTAGACGGAATCATGTTGGATGGAATGGACATGTCTTTCTAGATTAGATGGTGCGTGTTGTGAATTATTAGAGCTAAGCCAAGTGATTACAAATTGTTTTGATGATTCAATGTAGATTATTATATCTGGAGATGAGGCGGATTGAATTTCTTGTCCGTGGGTCAAGTTGGGATGTCTCTAAGGGAGAACAGTCATGTATTATTGAGGGTTGCTTCCCAAGAAGTGGAGAGCAATGTGATAACTAGAGAAATGTCAGTGTGTGTGATTCATAATGTTTTCTTGAAGATATTTGTGACTTGCCTCCAGAGTGTGGATATGAATTTGGTGACAGTAGAGAGCTGATGTTGTTGTCTGCTAAGCAAGTGGATGAACTTCTAGAAGATGAAGCCTTGATGTTGCAATGTTTGCATCATTGTAGGTTAATCGTGAAGTTACAAGTGTTGAATTATCTGTTGTCTGTGAATTTCCAGATGTATTTCCAAATGACATACGTGATTTGCCCCCAGAGCGTGAAGTAGAGTTCACGGTGGAATTGATACCAAGTGCGAGTCTGGTATCCATGGCTTCTTATAGGATGTCAACTTATGAGTTAGGGGAATTGAAGAAACAATTGGAAGAATTGCTTGAGAAAAATTTTACTTGACCGAGTGTTTCTCTGTGGGGTGCTTCGGTGTTGTTAGTTAAGAAGCAAGACAACAATATGAGGTTGTGTGTTGATTTCAAGTAGTTGGATAAAGTGACCATCAAAAATAAATATCCACTTCCGAGAATTGATGACCTGATTGACCAGTTGGTTGGTGCCTAAGTTTTTAGCAAGATAAACTTAAGGTCTAGTTCTAATTAGATTCGTGTTAAACTAGATGATATTTCGAAGACAACTTTTAGAACGAGGTATGGTCACTATAAATCCACTATGATGTCGTTTGGCGTATCCAATGCACCAGGTGTATTGATGAAGTATATGAATCGTATTTTTCATGAGTATCTAGATAAGTTTGTCGTGGTTTTCACTAATTATATTATGATCTATTCTAAATCAGAAGGAGAGCATGTTGAGCATTAGCAAGCTATGTTGTATGTTAAAAGAGGAGAGGTTGTATACAAAACTGTCAAAATGTGAGTTCTGGTTGAAGGAAGTGAGTTTCCTTGGCCATGTGATGTTGAGTGGCGAAATTGTTGTTGATCTTTCTAAGATTGATGTTGTGTTACGGTGGGAGACTCTAAAGCCAGCTACTGAAATTTGAAGTTTTCTTAGGCTAGAAGGTTACTATCGCAAGTTTATTGAAGACTTTTCTAAGTTGGCATTACCTTTGACTTAGTTAACTCAAAAGGGGTCAAGCTTATGTGTGAAATGTTGCATATGAAGAGAGTTTTGTGGAATTGAAGAAGAAGTTGACGACTACTCAAGTATTGGTTTTTCCTAATCCAAGTGAGTCCTTTATAG